AAAATACAAGAACTGCCTTTTTACCAGATGTTAGACTGTGTGTTTATGTGTCTGTGTGTGTGCAAGATTTAATAGAAAACAAAATTAGGAATGGTTGCTCTCAACATTTTCCAGGTTGTGAAAGGTACCTTTAGACTTTTATTTTCTGAACCCTGTTTCCTCATTAGTAACATGAAATAATACCTATTTACAGAGTACAGAGTATTTGTAAGGATTAATGGGCTCGTTGGGCATAGAAGACTGACTTACTTTAGCTTTCAACTCCTGGGTGGGACCACCTTTCCTCTCTTGTGGCACAGGGTTGGCCCACTGATAGGACTTTTCCTCATTTTCTGTACTATCCATGTGTCTGTCTTCCCATGCTGTCCCCCACTACCACCATTCACACAAGATTCACTAGGCCAGTGATCGGATGGGGTAGCCATTAAGGCTTTTTTCCACTTCTTGTACAATTCACATCATTTAGCTTTTGACTGTTGGGAGATACAACTACCTGAAGGCAAGGTATAATTGTCCCTAAGGAAATTGAAGCTCAGGGATAGCGTCATTCCCAAGGACACTGGGCTAGGAGAAGCAGTGAGGCCTTTTACCTAGACAACAAAAAACTCCTTTAAGCCTCTAAGATTGCAGTAAATATTGACTGTCTTAAATAGCTCTTACAAATTTTGTTGCACATTAATATAGTTAATTTAGAAGGTAGTATTTTGAATTTGTTTTATAATGCCCTAGTTAGGATCAGTAAAACAAAAGTACTGTTCATGCAAACGAAAAATAGGAATAACGACCTCAGGGTGGCCCTTTGTGTCTTTGAATGTCGAGAGTAAAAGAATTTTTCTTTTTTTGGCTACCTTTCTCAGGTTCTCTCCTGAAGCCCAGCTTCAGGATCACTGTTCAGGTTGGAGGCTTGCCTAGTTTCCAGTTCAGTGAGCAATGACTGTACACTTGTGTGTAAGGGCATATGAAGATGAGGAAGAGACAGTCCCTGCCTTCGTGGAGCTGATGAACATGTGTAGTTTCTGTGGCTGAAAAACGTATAAGAGATATGTATACATGGTGAGGTTGTTACAGGGCACACTTGGCTCCTGGATGAGGCTCCTCCAAATTGATACCAAACTCATGGGGGTCCAGCTGCCTGCCCCCAGGCAAAAATCAAACAAACAAAAGTCAAATGTTGGTGGAAACGGAAGTCAGCTTTTATCCAGGAACACAGTGACCTGAGATGTTGGGTTAACCCACCTCTCCTGGAAACCTGTAGAATGGCCAGGCTAAAGCCATCTCAAAGACTGAGGTATATTGAGGGGACTGAGGGAATGGAGCGTGGGAAGTGAAAAGCAGGAGGGAGGGGCACATGAACAGCAAGGGGTCTGTGAGTCAGGTACAAGGTGTCACCCCTCATCTGGTCTCTCTGCTCCCATCCTTATCTCAGGGTCTGGGTAGTACATGTGTCTGCAGTTGCAGGCTGGCTGGCAAACAACTTTACATTCATGTAAATATCATCTTGCCCCATAACCAAGGTCCAAAATATCAAATAACCATGGGAAAAGGAACTCAGAGAAATGCATGCCAAGGGGAAAAAAAAATGTGCATTTTTAAAATCTGCCTATATAGCCCATGTGGTTTTAGGCCCCAACATGGCTTCAGTCCTGCTCATTTTAACAAGTCAGATGCAAGGCCTCCCTTTGGACCTACGATTTGGGAGAGATTTCACACAACAGAATGATCCTGCCAAGAGCAAGGGGAATTCTTACTTTCCTCCTGTGATGAATACAGCCTGGTAGTGTTTTGCAAAATAAGGATAATATGCATCTAAGGCCAGATGATCCCAGACCAGAATATTCTGCAATATTCTTCCTTTGACTCTGGTGGCTCTAGTTGGTTTAGGACTGAGCTGGCCTAATTCTGGACTCCCCATCATGGTTCCAGCTTCTCAGGATCATTTTGCACATTTAAAGGAAATTAAAGAGGAAAAATGTCCAAAGATGTCTGTGATCATTATTAACACGTAGGGAACACTTTCAAGAGACTTTTGTTACTGCTGTGCTCTGCACACCTTAAACATGCAGAGCTCAAAAACTAGGTATTGTATTTTGTTACCTAATAAAATAATGTTACTAAGACTGTGAAAAGTCGTACAATCTAGACAAAGATGCATGTTAAGTTCATTATCTTTCAGTAGCTTTTTTAGACTTAAACTTGGGCTGGTTCAACCTGACTCAGCTTTCTCTGCCCTAGATTAATCATATTTTAGCTTTTGTTATAAATTCCTCTTACACTTCAGGGGAGGTTAATATTCTCCTTAACATTTAAAAAAGCCTGGTGTACAAAATCTGATTTGGGTGTCTTACTACAAACAGAAAAATGTTCTACTACTTGAGATCAGTTTCCCAACTCACCTAGGTGACCTAAATGATTCTCTTCTTTTGCTCCTGGAGAACCAAAAACTTGGGCATTTTTGAGGACGTTGTTTTAGCATTTTGAAGAGAACAGTAGCTATTGTGACCTGATAGCCTTAAGGCTTCATTATATCTAATAGTGGAGAATAAAAGAAATATCTCTATAGTACACTGTAGAGCTAAAGTAAATAGTGAAGCGATGGTTTTGTAATAACACAATAGTCGTTTAATCTGGGTGGCCTGGAAGGAATAAATTCACTTAAAATAATCATTCCCCTGCTCATGAGACATTGATTTAATCAGTGTCCAGGGTAATCCTGGAAGGTACTTAATGAAAATGCAACTTGAGATTGCCATTCTTCCTTGTGCTTGAAGAGTCTCTCCTTTCAGTGATTGTTAATGCTGGTGCTGGAAGTCCCCAGCTTTTTCCAACTCTGTAGTTTTTACTAGTAAAAACTGATCAAAATGGGAGGACATAGCACTGTATGTTGATGTATAAAACAACACATTGGTGGGGCTGTAACACAAGACTATTTTACTGTGATGTTCACAAAATGTTTTAGTTCTGATAATTTTGTGTTTCTATCTTCTGATTATAAGATCTTCTGGTATCTGCTGACTTCCTCACTTAAGTTAAACCAATTTTAAGTAAATGTAACTTTGTTTTTGAGGGTTTTGGTGGAGAGGATAGTATTTTTTTTTTTCCTTTTTTTTTGTCTTTTTTTGTGACCGGTAACGGGATCGCAACCCTCGGTGTCGCGCCCGTACCGCGATCGGCAACAGGATCGCAACCCTCAGTGTCGCACCCACACCGCGCTCAACCAGTGAGTGGACCGGTCTTCATGTGGGATCCGAACCCTCGGCCGGAGCGCCGCCACGCTCCCAAGCACCGCACTCTACCTGAGTGCGCCACCGGGCCGGCCCAGAGGATAGTATTTTTGATCTGGTCTAACGAATATGCAGATGATCAGAAAAAGCCAGATCAGGCTGGTGCCAGTGATGTAGAGAGAACAGTGAGAGAAGATGACAGCTTTTGAGGTACTGCAAGTACGGTGGCTCCTAGAAATTCATTACTTCCTTGTTTGGTGATGATCATTGAAAACTGACTAATCAATGATGCATAGATTACCATAATCTGTCCAAGTAAAGAATTCCCAGGAGCTCAAGCTTTTATTATTATGGGGACTGACACCCCAGCTGTTTGGAGTATTTTCATGCACATAGATTGTGGTTTATTTGCCTGAAAGGAAAAAGAAACATCAGATGAATTATCACATAATGATCAGTTGCACTCACATACTATTTTCTCAGATTTCTTTCTTTCCTCAAAGAAATCATGATGGTTTTTAGTCGGCCTCCACAACAATGAAGCAGACCTGTTTCAGGGATATCATTTACTTCTCTGACTAGGTGAGCTGGGCCTGCTCCAGATTTGTCTTTCCCTCTCCTTTCCTCTTACTCCTCTTAGCATCTAATATGGTGGCTTTCAAACATCTTTGCCCATGACAAGCATCAGAAAAGCATTTTATGGGGAAGCCCGTGGCTCACTCGGGAGTGTGTGGTGCTGATAACACCAAGGCCCTGGGTTCGGATCCCATATAGGGATGGCCAGTTTGCTCACTGGCTGAGCATGGTGCTGACAACACCAAGTCAAGGGTTAAGATCCCCTTACTGGTCATCTTTTAAAATAAAAAAAAAAAAGCATTTTATGTTGTGACCCTCTGCACATATGAGGGTACTTCAAAAAGGGCTGGCTGGTTAGCTCAGTCGGTTAGTATGGTGCTGATAAGACCAAGGTCCAGGGTTCCATCCCTGTACCCGCCAGCTACAGAAAAAGCAGTGCACAGAAAAATGAAATAGAAGATAATACGACCTCTTCCATGAACTTTGTGAAGTATGCTTGTATACTGATGTTTCAGGAGACAATACTTACCCTTACTACTTTGCACAGTGCCATTTGCTATGTCTGTCTAGTCTTTGTATTTTACTTTATTTAAATAAAAGTTGGGTCATGACTCATTAAATTGATTCTTATGATTCACTAATGAATTATGACTTGCAGTTTGAAAACATGATTTGGTTTATATCTACCGTGTGGTGTAAACTTACTCCTGGCTCCTGTGTTTTGTGTCATGCAAGTACAAAGAGCCGGATATTCAGATGGCCTGGAGTACATCGGTGTCTTCTCATTGTCTACTGGGCGGACTCCTTCATGGTGCTGCAGAGGGATGCTTTAGAGAACCACAGAGTTCAGCGGTTTCACCATGGGACAGTGACCATTTTCCAGAGTGTTCATCCTAAAACTCAAGAGGAATACAAGCTTAGAATAGAGAGGAACTGCCCCTAATGGAGTCTGCTTAGTATCAGGGTGGCAAGTCCTGTAGCGCTCCTTAAAGAGAAGGATGGAATGACACCATCCCTGTCCAGTCATCTTGGAGCCTTCGTGTTTGCTCTAGTGAGAGAGAAAGCACCAAGCAGCTCCTGCTTTCTAGAGCTGTGTGTGCCCTGCTGGAAGTCAACATGGTGAAACTGGAGGGAGAATGGCATCAGGAAAGCCCAGAAGGAAAGTGTGGTGGTGGTTCTGGGGAAGAGTCTTTAGGTGCATGTGGCAGCATTTAATCAACATTTCGCAGTAATAAAGTAGCCATTGGAGTGAAAGGCTCATCTGTAAGGAATTAATTTAACACTAGCAATGATGACTTATAGTAATTATCACTATTACTACCAATTGGCCTCTTTCTGTATTTCAGGGACTCCCGGTTTTGTAATGAGGCACACCTCAGGAAAGTTGAGTCTAAAAATAGTGTTGTTTATAACATAGCCTTTGGATTCTTTTCCTTCCAGCTCCTCTATAGTGTTCATTAAGTATGCCACTCTGTGATCATTGGCAGCCTAATATGATCGCTGCATCGGTGACTTTTACCACTATATCCCAAATCACCTGAGGGGCACACCATCCAATTCCATCCAGAAGAGTGGCTCCCAGCAGCAGTGATTCTCAGAGGTGAGAAGGGGTCCCTGTAAGTGCCCTGGCAAAGCCTTCCCAAGTGACTCTGATTTCAAACTCCTTTCCCAGATGAGGCACTGGTCTAATAATACTCCTTGGGGAGTTCTGGATCTGTGTCTTTAAGAGGGAGGACCAGGTCCTTCTAGTTAGGAGATGCTGTAGTTCTTTGGTTAAAGGGCATGTGGTAGCCAGATTCACCAATAGTTTATATTTCCATTTCCTTTATCACATTCTTGCTATTTCTGCACATATGTATATATGAAGTATGTATGAAGAGGCTTCAAAAATTCATGGAAAGATCTGTATTCTCTTTTAAGTCTATTTTTCCATGAAATTTTTGAAGTACCCTCACATAACCACAATATGAGGGTACTTCAAAAAGTTCATGGAGCTGGCTGGTTAGTTCAGTTAGAATGTGGTGTTGCTAACACCAAGGTCAAGGGTTTGGATCCCTGTACCAGGCAGCCTCCCCACTAAAAAAAGTTCACATATGATCTTTTCATTCTGTTTTTTCATGACCTTTTTCAAGTACCCTTGTATGGGTATCTTTACTATAATGTTAATATATAGGCATTAACAGTGGGCATAGTCTTTACGACTATGGTTCTTTTCTAACTTTATAACTAGAATACACATTTATAAATTAAATATAGCCAATAAAAGTAAGCCACAATGTAACAGATGATGATCTGCTATGACTAAATCTCTGTTCCACTGGTAGGGTGCTGACTGTCACCCTACTGGAGCTGATTATTGTTAGCGTGCTTAAAATGCCACCTGTCCTATGCAATTTCCCCACCACTTTTATCTTTCCAACTCTTGAATGTATTTCATTGTACACAGATTGTGGTGACACAGTTTGATCTTGGTGCAAATACTTCAGTTTCATATTAGGTTTGCTTCTGTCCTTTTCTTATTAGACCAAGAAACAAAATGCAAACACAGCCACTGGAATAACATGCTAGTACTTGGTTATATAGCAGGTATACAATTCAGAACATGCTTATGTCAAATTTTTAAAAAGATTCTCTCTGTAATAACACAGGTAAAAGTTCCTCATGGACTCCTGAACTTTTGTGGACCAAAGTTCTCACAGCACCCCTATTGAGTAGGGACTATCATCCATCCCATTTTATAGATAAGGAAAACTGAGGCTTACAGAGGTTAAGTAATTTGCCTAAGGACACTTAGCTGCTGCGGTGCTTGAGATTTGACCTGAAGCAGCCTGACCCTGAAGCCTCTAAACCCTTGCTTTCTCTACTATATGCCTTCCCAGATAGAGGACATGACTTTCCTGCTGATTGATAAATAAAACAAAACTCCCATATATGCTGCCTTCACTAATAAATCAACAAAGAAGTTTTAATTTGATAAAGATTTCTGAACCAGTGAAATAGCATTTCCAAAATATTATCTTGCTGAAATCAGACATACATTTAGGATGGGTGGTGACACATCCTCAGAATTTGTCCCTGAAGACCTGGGTCAAAACTCTGCCTTCCCACAGCTCAGGAGCACAGTGCCACAGAACTTCATCTTATATTGAGCTTTCTTTTCTAGTAAATACCTCAGTAAAGGAAAGGAACTTAGTTCAGATGACAGGGCTACTTCACAAAGTAACAAGATCCCCCATTACTGAAGTGTTTAAGTGGGTCACTATATTGGATGTGTGGCCTTAGATTCCATGAGTCTATGTGAGATCCTAGACCTGTTGGGGGTGAGGGACCTGTTCCATTCTTCTTTGTACCCCAGGTATACACCATTAGGTGCGTGTGGTAGCATTTAATCAACATGTTGCAGTAATAAAGTAGCCATTGGAGTGAAAGGCTCATCTGTAAGGAATTAATTTAACACTAGCAATGATGACTTATAGTAATTATCACTATTACTACCAATTAAAAATTCAAAGAAATGCTGTATTCCATTTGATACTACTTTGCAGTTTGTAAAATGTCTTCGAGTAGACTAGGTGGGCAGTATCAGAGAAAAAATTAAGCTTGGAGAAGTTGGATGGCTAAGTCAAGATTAAAGTGGAAAAAAAAAAAAAAAAGCTGGAAGTGCTCTTTCCGCCTTCGGCACCTGAATGTGCAGTAGCATGCTGTGATCATCAGAGCAACACTTCATGGATGAGGGTCCACTGCAGAGGGCTTCACGGAGGACAACACGCAGCTCAGGGGGCTGTCCTCTTCTCTGATGGGACCGCGTCCCCGAGCCTTTTAACCTCAAAAATAAGGACTGAATTCACTGCCCTCTCTAAAGGTTGGAACCACCAATAGTATATTTTGTGCTTTCAGTTCCTCTTTTGTTCATAAAGACATTGAAAATGTCATCTCCCAGTAGTGTATTTTACTTTAAAAAGCTTCATAAAACATAAGGTGGCATAGCATTGTGTGTTTATTTAAGCCACTCTCTAGGTGTAGGCAGTTGCTGTAAGCCAGGTTTGCATCCCAGGGTAGACATCTGGCATTTGATCAGAAGAGCTACTCTCCAGAGACAGCTACTACAAGTGTCAGGGTTTTTCTTATCAGATCAAATTAGCATGGTAAATGTGAGAAATGGATCTCCACTGAAAATAAAATGGCTTGCTAGTTAGCATAATGGATGTTGAAAATAGATTGTTCCACAGAATAGCTCTTTAGACACTTGACAATGGTTATTATATTTTCTTTAAGTGAATATTTCTCACTCGTTAGAAATCCATGTTTTCCTTTAATACAGAGAAAAATGTTATGAGCTATTTTAATGTCATCTGCAATTCAATTAAAAATATCAGTCAATAATCCTTGGATGCAATACCTTCATTTTTTTTTTCATTTGATACATATCTCCCCCCTCATTCTTCCTGAATCTTGAGAGTCATAATCAGTATCTGGTCCGAGCATCCCCAGTACAATCAACCATTCTTTGTTGGATATGTCTTCCAAACTCATTGCTGTCTTCACCAACTCTGGCTTGTCAGTGTCCCTCCTACAATACAGTGCTTAAAGAATGACTTTCATATGTGATCTGATTAGCTTGGTGTGCCTCGGACCTTCACCAACTCTGATCTAGCCCAGGAGTTCTTGGGGGTGAGGCAGGCTGTTGACAGTGCACGAAGCAGCAAAGTGTAAGACCGTAGGGGCAGCGGGAACTTGCAGAAGACCCTTTCTCCTCTTCAAGGGGCGGCCACCACTCAGCTCCAGCCATGGTTGTGCCAGAGCTGGTTCATGAGCTAGTGGTGACTGTCCCTTCTCGACTCTGAGCATCACGTTGGGAGCTCAAAATCAGCCACCGTGGGAGTAATTTACCCCATGGCAAGTGCTACATTTCAGGGAATTTTGTGATTTTTTTCTACTTGTTAATGTTTACCAGCACATGACTGTCTCCATCTTTCTACTTGTCCATGGAAATGTAGGATTGGATATGCCAATTTTTCCTGATTATTCAAGACAAACTAGAAACTTGGATTTTTATGTAAAACTTCCAGATTTAAAAAATTCCACGAGTCAAACAATAGCTCTCTTCCCAGGACCCGGTCTGTAAACATTTGTCTAATACATACTTTCTGGTTTAGTCTTAATACTTATATTAATAAAACCTAAAATAACAGGGTTTTTTTTTCCAGCAACTTCCATCAGCCTCTCTCCCAGGGGTGCCATAGTTGTGAATTACTGTAGCAATTCTTTAGGAGCTGAAAAGGTGGTAGGTATGTAACATTAAACCATCTCCTAGAACAATTATTATCTCTGTGGAAATTAACTTGCATATGTATTTCTTCCCATTCAGATTTTGTTGTTGTTAAAAGAAAAAGGCCACATCTTTCTTCATTTTCTTTTGCTTAATACTTTATATGAAATGCTTGTTGACTTGGCATTTGATGTGGGTATAATTTGTAGAAGCAATACATTTGGGGTTGAAATTGAATCAAGTTTGAAAAACTGTTCCATCCTCAGTGGCTTCAGATTTATTGTAACTGCCTTTTTATTGGATCAAACTCTTGATTCCTTGTAAATGAAATTAATAAATCTTTTCCTTTTGAAGTCTGGTGAAGTTAAAATTTCTTCCTCCAGGATTGCCTTTCTCATCAAAACTTACATCCAGGGGGTCTTCAAAAAGTTCGCAGAAAGATTTGTATCATCTGTTAATTCCATTTTTCCGTAACTTTGAAGTATCCTAGTGTATGTGTTTTTCCTCTCTTTGAAAAATGTTGCTGAAATGTCACTTCCTTCATAGAACTTACCATGTTTAACTGGACTGTAGTCACTTTTAAATGAGCTTGACAGGGCAAAAGTGTGTTTTGTTCACTGATAAGCAGGGACTGAGAAAAATGACTTTTCAGTTACCTAGCAAAGTGCTAGTTTAG